CATTCCTGCCAAAGCCAGGAAAAGTCTTACTGGTTCCACACTGTCAGTTGGGGACCCATCACACTCTGACTTTGCTGGCACTGTCAAAGTCAGCCTTAGACCTGTAGTAACATAAAGAATGACATGAGGATTCTTTGCATAGCTCTCAACAGGAAGAGCCACTGGCTTGTCACAAACTGTCCCTGAATCAATGAGTTATCTGGCCACCTCCCTCCCCAGCCCTATATTCCGTAAGTTAGCAGAAGTAGAGTCAGTATAGTTCCCGGGCTCCATGTAGACCTCTGCTTAAGCAAAACCAGGACATTTAGAAAGCAAATACATCCAACTGTAGCCAGAACAGAGTGGAGACAACCACCTTTCCAGGGATGTGGAGGGGCCGCTCCCCCAGCCTTGGGGCACGTTATTCCCTCCCCAACACCAGTTCCTCACACGTGAGCTATCACAAAGGTGTCTTGAGAACTAATCGGAGTTTGGAAAACCACCATGTTCCACAAATGAAAGATACTGGGTTTTTATTCATAATTTGAGCAATACGAGAAGAATAGTTCCTTTCTGAACTGTATCATTCTCACGGCGAACAACTTCCTTATGCCCTGGGTTTCTCCCCACGTCTCGATTCAGGCACAACTTCAGTTGAGGCTCTGTGATGACAGGTGAGGGCTCTGCCTTCCCTTCACTATGTGATGTGCTCCCTAAGAGGGTCTTAGGCGGAAAGACCAGGGGTCGGGCCTCTTTCATGTCTCAGGCGGGTGGGTGCCACTTAGTGGGCATGTACCGGTTCCCGGCCCAGTGCTTTTACATATGTTGTCTGATGTGGTCCTCATAATAACCCATGATGTAGGAACCTTCCAGCCCCAGGCCTTCTGGTCCAGCTGGTGGAAACATGTGGTTTTCCAGATAAGGGAACTGAGGCTTAGAGAGGTTAAGAAATGTGCTCAAGCTCCTGTAGCCAAATTCAAACTCAAGTCCGTCCAACTCCTATGCCCAAGACAGCGTTTAATTACCACACCGCACAATAATCCCTCTGACCACAGCCTGTCGTGACACACTGGTACGTGTGTATTCACCAGTTACAAACCCCAAAAAGAGTCCGAACAACAGATTTAGCGGGCCTGGCAGTGGGGCTCGATCCCACTCTTCTAGAAGCCACGTCGTTGCCTCTTGGGATTTCCCACTGCCACCAATTCCCCCAACTATGAGCAAGGTCTCCTGAGGTGCAAGGGTGTGAACACCCAGACCCCTGACTGGTCCATCTGCGTGAGCCCGGTGCCCAGACCGCGGGCCCTACACCTGTGCTTGGAAAGCTGGGCTCTGCAAAGGCCTTCCAGAAACGTGTGGCCTTGGCAGGCTCTGAGTCTCATCAGAACGCAAGAAGTCCTTCCCTGGAGCACCAGTGTGGGGACAGCACCGCCCCGGGACAGCCACCACATGCAGTGGCTCCAGGCAGATAACATACCATTCAGAGAGAGGCTCACGGCCTCCGCCACAGGCCCCTCTCACTGAACCTCGCCCACCACAGGCCACCCAGCCAGCTTCTCTCTGGGGCAGGAATCCCTTTTTAAGCTGCTCCTGCCAGCATCTCATTTCTGTTTAAATAGTTCCAAAGAGGGGAATCCCTGGATTGTGGACTTCAAAAAAAAAAAAAAAAAAAAGAGAGAGAAAGGGAGAATCGGTGAGGGGAAAACCACACACAACGGAAGGAAAACCTTATGAAAGGCCAATCCTCCCCCGACCCCAAGGAGAGTGGGAACTCAGGCCCGTCCCCAAAAAAGGACAAGGGTTGCAGTGCTTATAACTCAGCTGTTTGGAAGGCAATAAGAATTTCCAGCAGACAGAATGTCAAAAGAGAAGCTAGCTTATTTATCTTGTGAGTTCACAGAATGGAGCCATTGTGAAACCCATTTGCTGATGTCTGGGTGGGAGATGCTGTTGAGAGGTCCTGGGTGCCTGTCTTCCCAGACCACAGAGCAGGAGGCTCACCCACAGCCTCTCTGTGTGGCCCTTTGCTCATGCACAGGATTGGGACCTGGGCTCTGCCTTCGGCACAGGACACCCTCCATCCTCTCCTATCCATCAGCCTGGTGGCTCTCTCCCCTGTAGACCCTCATCTCTAGTGCCCAGACCTGGAATAAGCATCCTTGGGTCCCTGGTCACCATAGCAGAGATGACCATGTCCAGCTCTGGCCTCTGTAACAGTCAGTGTTTGCTTCTAGGCTCCTAATACTTCACTGTGTGAATCAGCTGTCCCTTGAGAAAATCAAGAGTTCCATATTTCATCCATTTGCGGTCCCCTAAGCCAGGCTTCCTGGGTAATAGGGTAAAGGGGGTTTTGGTATCAGGGAACAGTGGGGAGGATAAAGAGAGGTTGCAGCAGGTTCTTTTAGATAAAGGATGCCCTGGATTTAGAGGAGGAGGTAGAGAGGAAAGACATATGGATAAAAAACCAAAGCAGGAGAGAGGCAGAAGGAGCATGAGTGTTTGGGGGCAGCCAGGATCCTCCTTCTTCTCCCACCATGCTTGAGGCTGGAGGATCACAAGGGACAGAGCCAGGGGCTCAGGAAGCGGTGGGTGTTGTTGCCTAGAAGGCGAGAATCCTGCGCTTAGCACGACACCATAGGGGACACTCATGGGGCAGCCATGTGGGCATAAACATATGTGTAAATGGGTCATGTGGAACCCAGGGCCTGCTGGTACAGGTTCTAAGGCCTCTTCCCTTACAAATTATATCCCAATATTAAATTTCATCTGCAAACATGGCAGGATTTTTAACTACATAGCAGAAACTACAATATTGTATGATTTTTGTCAGTATTTTTAAATGCAAGAGGTTTTGATAGCCAGGTGAAGATGTTGGTTGTAGGGTAAGAACTAGTTCAGAAGAATGAAAAAGGGAATGCACTACAGGTAGGGGCAAGGGGGGACACTAGGAGGACCAGGAGACCACGAGCCTGCCCCCCACGATGATATCCATAAATGCTATGGCTGAAAGCAGCCACAGCATCCCCCATCACCCCAGTGCAGGGAGGCAGGCCCTCAGAGAGGAAAAGGTGACAGTTCACATTTGCCCTTGCTTACAGACTCCAGTGACATTTGCTTCAGAGGATGTCAGGCAAAGCTGCAGAGGAATCTGTGGAGGAACTGGCCAGACGGGATCAGGGAAACTCTGGAGAATGGCAAGGAGAGTTTAGAAGCCTGTGACACAGGAATGAGTCACCTTGGGCAGACGGGCTCATGGGACAGAGGGCT